TGCAATTTATCAAAACGTGTCTGTGTGCCTGGAGTTTCTCTGTAGGAGTGAGTCTGAAGAATTCATATCCTCCAACTGGTGGTTTCCCAACAGGAGGAAATAAAGTTGACGTGGAAGGACCAGGAGGAGAATCATCTACGCGACGCGGGTGGTTAAAAGATGTCTCCATGTCATCAAAGTACCTCGAACAGAAAGTTAGGACCTCATCTCCGGAATAACCTTCTGCTATTGACCCCTCAGGCCATGCCTTATTCCTAACATATGATTTTAATTTTCCCAAGTACCTGTAAGTTAAAATTGCATTAATAATTACGAGTAAATGAAAGAACAATGTGAAATTTAAAGAGGCGGGAATAAAAGATAATCTAGTACCTCTCTATAGGGTACATCCATCGATAGTGAACTGGGCCAGCAACCTTTGCTTCTCGAACAAGGTGGACAGTCAAGTGAACCATAACAGTAAAGAATGATGGAGGAAATATCATCTCCAAGTGACAAAGTGTAAGAATAATTTTATTTTGCAGCTGATCAAGCTCTTCCGCTACCAAGACCTTCGCACACAACTTCTTGAAAAATGAACATAATTCTACCAAAACCACCGATACATCAGAAGGAAGTGTGTTTTTCAAGGCCAATGAAAGTAACTGTTGCATAAGAACATGAGAGTCATGACTTTTCAACCCAGTAACCTTTCGAGCCTGCAGATCGATACACCTTGAGATGTTGCTAGAATATCCATCTGGTACTTTTATGTTCTTCAACGTCGAGAGGAAGATATCCTTGTTATGCTTTGTCAAGGTGAATTTAGCTGGCTGAAACTTGTCGTTTTCATCAGGCCAAGACTCTTCACGAATTCCCCAGGCCCGTAAATCTTTTCTAGCTGCGAGATGGTCTTTGGACTTTCCAGCTTCATTGAGCAACGTATATAGCACATTATCGCACACATTTTTTTCAATGTGCATAACATCCAAACTGTGTTGTAGCAAATTAGATTCCCAATAAGGAAGAGTGAAAAATATGCTTCTCTTCCGCCATTGCATAGATTGCGTATCAGATGTCCCACGAGATCGTCGTCCCAATCGTTTGGGATCCACACTCTTACCAAACTCGACATGAACATCTTCTAACTGCCGCAAAATATCCATACCCAAACCGCTAGAAATTTCTAAACTCCTCGGGCAATTAAAAATATTTCTAGCGGTTCATGCATCAACCGCTAGAAATTTTCAATGTCTAGCGGTTTATTGGCCTGAACCGCTAGAAAATAAACACTACAAATTTGGCGCCAAGTTCCCGCCAAAACCCGGGAAATTTTCTAGCTCTAAATTTCTAGCGGTTAGGTGGTAACCGCTAGAAATGTACGGGCAATGGTCAAACCGTCTGTAATTTGCAGCGGTTTTTCTAAAAACCGCTAGAAATGTTAGAATTTTTTGTTGAACCGCTAGAAATGTTCCGCTGCTAATTCTACATTTTCTTGTAGTGCATTCATTCGGTTTACTAACCTCCCTGCAATTGTAAATTTTCAGAAACAGCAATTAAATGCCAACCTAGCAATAATTACGTATCTAGCAGTCTAGAACTAATTCACCAATTTAACTGCTAAATCCTAAAACTCATATCCTAAAAGCAAGTCCTAAATAAGCTAAAGTCATAAAAGAATTACTTAAAATGCAAAATTAATTCATCCATTGCTTTACTCAAGTAAGAATTGGACAGGTTATTTCTCATGGAATCAATCTCTTCATTTACGTAAGGTGATTGATTTTCAAATACCTAAAAGTTGGAATGGAATCAAAACATATCATTAGTCACTAAAATTTACAATCACATTGATAAAATCATTTATTGCATATATAATTACCTGGTTAAAGTTATTAGTTGTCTTCAGTTATGATTATTTCATACATATAGGGGATTACATGGTATCCGCACTCTACACTCCCTAGTTGATAAGGTACTGAAAAATATACAAAAAATGATCAATATGACTAAAATTATTATTGAAAGGATAAATAAATCAAAATATCTTTGATCACATTTTAAAATAAAATGACAGACAACAAATATATGTTGGTTTTTTAACCTACGAAATCTCTATTTTAAACATATCCAGGTACTTCATTTTTCTCCATTTTCAAATCTTTTCTATTTATTTGTTACCTAAAATATTTACTATTTATTTCAGCATATTACTTGAGAAAAATATTTGCTTAATAAGAGTGGGGTAGAAATATGAATGGATTTTGACGTGAAAAAATAAAAAGCGAGTAACAAGTTTGGAATTTCTTATCTTTTATAATTTTGAAGTTAATTGTTTAAATTTGACACTTTAGATTGTAAGTTATTGTTGGAAATACTAGAGAGGGACAGAGACGCTGAAAGAGAGAAAAAGCAAAGACCTGATATAGAGCCCAAGGCTTTGTAGCCTTGTGGCATTGACACTCCTCTGCTTAGGTCACAAGTTTGGTATCGTTTGTAACTTCAAACTATTAATACTTACATCTTTAATGTTTTTTTAAAAAAAAGGAATAATATATTTGCATATGTGTGATTATTTTAAATAGGATTAGAAATGATGAAAGATTAACTGCATGAGGTATTAAAAACCAAATCAGTGAATGAATCAGTCAAGACATTGGGTTACAGGTTAGTGAGTCATATTAGTGTCAAACCAGAGTTAGACTACTCATAATTAAAATAATATAATTCTTAATTATATAGTACATATCTTAGATAAAATAATAATATAAAAACAAAATAATAATATAAAAATTTTTAAATAATAATAAAAATAAGAGACAATATAAAAATGAACAACCTTACAATCTTTCGATGAAAAATGACAAAAAAACGAAGCTGAAAATTACTACATTCTAAATTAGGTTTGATAACAACACCTTATTTGGTGTTGATAATACTGCATTTACAAATGACAACAAATTTTTGTTGACATTTTTTATTTGACATTTAGTAATTTTCAGCTTTTTCTTTGTTATTTTTCCAACTTTTGATTTCAAAAAATTTAACATATATATTGATTTTTTTTTGCTTCTAAAAATAAGCTGTTTAAAACTAGAATATTTAAATTTTTTTGGGTTAGACCTGTCACATATTTGTCTTTTCCGTATCTATTAGATGCATACCTATGCATTGGATATTATTATAAATTGAGTAAAACTGCACGAAAATATGAGACTTTTCTTATTTGCATTTAATTTCTTTGAGCGACTTTTTAGCTTTGCCTTTTCCCAACAGAGCAGACTTGACATTGATATTACGATTCTTCATCTTCGCACACTCAAGCCCTTGGCCTTTTCTTCTTTCACCCTTCCTTTCCTTTCCCCTTTCTTCGTCTTCATCTTCTTTCATCCTATGCAAGTTTGTTTGGCATTTTTTTTCTTTTGCTCTCTCAACAACAATTTAGTTTCACCTTCTCCTCTCCACTAAGGACTGTATTGTTCGTTAATTTTTTTATCTTTCTTCTTTATTTCAAGTTGATTCTTCCTTCACCTACTTCTCTCTTTCAATCTTCTTCAAGCTTTCTTTTTTCCCCTATAATGGTGTGGTGCCTCCATTAGAAAGCAAAAAAATTTATCCAGAACAGTTTATGATGAGTCAAATATTTCTCGATTTATGAAAAGAACCAGACCAGCCAATTGGCCAATTCACTATTTTTTAGCTTCAACTGACCAGTCCAATCCAGTTTTTACTAACACGATAATTTTCTTTCTTTTCCTAGGGCATATGTATCTTTCTATTAGAAGGTGTCACACCTCCTTTAATATCCCATTACGTTAATTAGAACTATTATAACGTGTTTCCCAATATTTCCGAATAAAAAATTTTAGTTTCAAACTTTCACACTTAAATCTGTCCGTACACTATTTATCTGAAATTAGGCCAATTTTGAAAATTCATAACTAATTCTAGAAAAATCAAAACGAGGTGGTTCTAATTTTCATATGAAATTTGCTAAGAGTCCTAAGAGGAAAAATATTCATTGGACTCAATTTCAGCTAGAACAACACTAGAAAATTCAACAAAATGTACCGTTTATATGGTCAATTTTTGAATTTTCAGGATTTTAGCCCAACTTTAAAAAGGCATAACTCTTTGCACAAAACTCCAAATTTGATGGTTTACCACTTGATTTAAAGCTAAAAATAAGATCTATTTGTCTGCAAAATATTAGGTTCAAATTCCAACAATTACTTATTATTTTATGTACCACAAATTTAGCCTTTTTTAGGATATTTTTATCCTCTAATTCCATTTTCTTGAATTTATTTCCCATTTTTCTTTTTCCTACATTCTTTTCACAATACTTTATACACAATTCCAGCATTAGGGAATTTAACAATAATATAATTTACATCAAGAAGTTATCCATAAACCATCCCAAATGTAACATAAACTCATTAGGCATTACATAACATTTCAAAATAACATCATGATCATCAAGCTTCTTCATCCCAATACCAACTCCTTGCCTTGATCCATAGGTGGGCCCCTTCCTAAATGATAAATAAATTGACATAGGAGGAATGAAATTTCATAGAAATATCAGTAGCAATTGAACTATAATTATCAGAATAGAGATGATGGAGCGCTCTCTCCCCCTTCAGCTCTCGGAGAAGGAAAGCTCCCCTCCCCACCCCAACGACAACCGATCTACTAAGAAAGTCAAGATAAGGCAGTCCCAATGCGAAGGAGAAGATGATGTCGCGATGATCACTGAAGACCATGCCCCTTCTGCCGGAGAAGAGAACTGTCTAACCAAAGTGTCAGATGAAACGACAATGCTTGTTGAGCACGAATCAGCAGAATCCAGTGAGCAAGGTGAGAAACCTTCCTTCTGAGACAAGTTGCTGAACAAGACACCGGACTCCACCCCTGAAGATGAATTCATCCTTGAGGAAGGAGATGTATATGTCGACAAGAAGGGAATCTTCCCAGCCATCGCCTTCTCACCACGAGTACACAAGATTCTTGACGAGAGCATGTGCTACACTGTGGTACTCAAGCTCCTTGGTAGGCCTATCGGTTACCAACGACTCCGTGACAATCTGCTACGCTTGTGGAGATTTTCCAACTATTTCAAGTTGTCTGACTTAGAGGGAGGTTGCTTTACAGAAACCTTCACCAACGCTGAAGATTACCACAAGGCCCTCACCGACGGACCCTGGGTCATCACAGGACACTACCTCACAGTCCACCCTTGGACACCGGAGTTCTCGCCACTTCACCACAGCATCTCTCAGGTGGTAGCTTGGATACGTATCCCCGGTCTCCCCACTAAGTACTACAAGAAGAACATCATAAGGGCCATTGGAGAAATCCTAGGGCAGGTTATAAGGATAGATTACAACACAGCCTCTGGAGAACAAGGTAAGTTTGCCAGGATGGCAATCATCTTGGACTTATCCACCCCCCTGACGTCGAAGATCACGGTGGATGGGAAAAGTCTATTCGTGGAATACGAGGGCCTACCCACGATATGTTACCACTGTGGAAAATACGGGCATCTCACTGACACTTGCCCTCAGAAAAACCAAGACCAGATGACTGAGGATACCGCAGTTCCGGTCATGAGACCTCCGGTGGCTGATGAAGTAGAAGAGACGAATCCGCACGGCGCGTGGATGCAAGTTCCATCCTCACGACGTCGCCCAGCAAGAGAGATGAAAAAGCAGCCTGACACAGGCTACCTTAAAAATGTTAACACAGGGACGAGATTTGACCTGCTGAGAGAAACGGAGGACTTACACAGAAACAACTCTGTCTGTATTGAGCCAACCACCGAAAACGTCAACTCCTTGCCAGTTTCAACAGACTCCCACCCTGATACTCACCCTAGACTCCCCAAAGAAACTAAGCCAAAAAACGCAACCATTCCCCCCAAGACTCAAAAAAAGCACACCTCGAACCCCTCCAATGAATCCCTTTTCACAAGCAAAGCCTATAAGGAGTCATCCTCGTCTACAGCGCCTGACAACTCCCGCCACACTGCTGTCACCATCTTGAACCCTAAACCCCCTTCCAAATCCTCAACCAACCCCAAGACTCTTGGCTCACCAGGACCCACGCCTAAAACAACCCACCACCCGGGAAAAAACAAGGAAAATATTCTACCTAAGCCGCCGGACAGAACCTCTCCTAAACTGGGCCTCAAAATCCACCCAAGCTTGTCAATTGGATCCCCCAAGCCCAAATCCAAAGAAAACCCGCCCACCCTTGCAGATACAGCACTTAAAGCGATCACCAAAGCTTTAGACGACCAGTTCTCTGATAATGAACTCTCTGATGATTCATTCAGTGACGACGAATCTCAAAAACACTCCAACATGGAGTGCTAATCTCACTCGTCTCCCTATGAATACACTCATATGAAATTGTCAAGGTGCGGCAAAGAGTAAATTTCACTCTGTGCTTAAATCCTTCATTACTGAACACAAGCCCGACATCTTGGTTCTAATTGAACCCCGAGTTTCTGGTCCATCTGCGGATCGCATTATCAGATCCTTTGGTTTCCCCAACTCACACCGAGTTGAAGCGTGTGGCTTCTCCGGAGGAATATGGCTACTCTGGTCAGATCGAATGTCATTGCAAATTATCCATAGTCACTGGCAATTCATCCATACAAAAGTCCGAGATACTCAGTCCAACCAGGAATTCTACTTCTCAGCGATATATGGTAGCCCAAACTCCACCATTAGAGCACACCTCTGGCCGGTCCTAACGTCACTTGCTCTGTCTGTCGAGGGACCCTAGGCCCTAGCTGGTGACTTTAACGCGGTCTTAGCTTCCTCTGAGAGGAGAACTACCTCCGGTAGAAACACACCTGGGTGCTCTAAATTCCAAGCTTTCGTAAATGACAACTCTTTAGTGGACCTAGGATACTCTGGGCCCAAGTTCACCTGGCGCCATGGGCTGTCTTTTGCAAGATTGGATCGAGTTCTGGTTAACATAGAGTGGGTCACTTCATTCACCACATGTACTGTAACACACCTCCCAAAACTTCAATCAGACCACAGACCACTAAAGCTACATTTGCAATCATCACAATTCCAGACCAGACCCACAGCTTCATTCAAATTCTTAGCAGCCTGGTTAACACACACTGAATTCAAAGGCTTAGTAGAAGACACCTGGAAAGATGAAAATTCTCTGTCAAATAACATTCAAGCCTTTAGACACAGTGCTGCCTTATGGAATCGTAACACTTTTGGCGAGATTGGCATCAGGAAGAGACGATTGACCGCCTGACTAGCTGGACTTCAGAAGGCCCTCAAATCAAAACCCCACTCTGATTTCTTAATCAAACTCAACAGAGAACTCACGGAAGCTTATGAGACAATTTGCTTTCAACAAGAACTACTGTGGATCCAAAAATCCAGAGCTCATTGGATAAATCTGGGTGATCGCAACACTTCATATTACCATGCCAAAGCCAAAATCAGAAAGCCCGAAATAGAATCACCGCACTGAAAGACTCAAATGGCTCCTAGGTTTCAGACGACTCACTCCTACAACAAATGATAGGAATTACTTTGTGGAGCTCTATTTGCGTCCAGACCAGCCAAATACCACCTTCCATCTGCGAGGTAAATTCCCCCTTCCTGCTACATCCTTAGAATTACTGAATGCAGATTTTTCCCTGGCTGAAGTAAAACAAGCCCTCTTTGATATGAAACCGCTGAAAGCCCCAGGACCCGATGGCCTTCACGCGCTTTTCTTCCAAAGCCAATGGGATATTGTAGGACCGTCTCTGTGGAAAATGGCAAACTCTTTACTAATAGGTCAACCCCTTGATGAAGGTCTCAATAATACTCTGATTACTTTAATCCCAAAGCTAGAAAGGCCCACCACAAAATCATGACTAAGCTAGTGGCTTACAAAATCATGACTAAGCTAGTGGCCAATAGATTGAAACCCCTGATGCCACTGCTTACCCTTCCACAGCAATCTAGCTTCATTCAAGGCAGAAGTATAACTGATAACATCATCATTTCCCAAGAGGTGATCCACTCGATGCGATATAAATAAGGGCAAAAGGGATGGCTAGCAATCAAAGTAGATCTTGAGAAATCCTTTGATAAGCTTGATTGGACTTTCATTGAAGACACCCTTATTGACGCAGGACTGCCAGACAAGCTGATTAAACTAATCATGCACTGCATTTCCACTCCGACCATGCAGATCCTATGGAATGGTCAACCTTCGCAGCCCTTTGCCCCTACTAGAGGTATAAGGCAAGGAGATCCCCTCTCTCCCTACATCTTTGTTCTTTGTATGGAGAGACTATCCCAAGCCATTACCTATGAAGTTCAACAAAACAGATGGGAAAGTATCAAGCTTGGCAGGCACGGACCCCCTCTATCACACCTCTTCTTCGCAGACGACTTAATTCTGTTCAGCACTACTTCACAACAGCAACTATCCCTCATACAGGGTATCCTTGCAAACTTCTGCTCGACCTCAGGTCAAGTTGTCAGCCAAGCTAAAACAAGAATTCATTTCTCAAAAAACGTAGCCAAGACTGAAGCTCAACGAATTTGCAACTTCCTAGGCTACCAAAGGACTGAACAACTAGGGAAATATCTTGGTGTTCCCTTACTTCATTCAAGAGTCTTAAAAGACACTTACAATTACCTCATTGAGAAAGTCCAACAGCGGCTTACCACCTGGAAAGCCAAAACACTCTCACTAGCAGGCCGTGTTACCTTGGCTAAATCAGTACTCAGTACTCTACCCTACTACACAATGCAAACTTTAGCTCTCCCGGTGTCTTGCACAGAAGCCATTGAACGTATAATCAGTAGATTTATATGGGGGTCAGACGAGAACACGCGCAAAACAAGCTTAGTCAGCTGGCGAGACATGTGTCAACCTACTCAAAGAGGAGGCAGTGGACTCAAAACTCTTCAAGGTCAAAACCGAGCTTTCCTTTCCAAACTCGCGTTTAGCCTCATTCACCAACCTCATCAACTCTGGGTTCAAATCTTAAGAGCAAAATACAAATGGTCGAAGGAAAGTAATTATGAGTTCAAAACTCACATAGCATCCCATACTTGGCGCAGCATTGCACGTGTTTGGAAGGACACTGAGCTCAACATAGCTTGGAAAATAGGAAATGGAAACACTACCAGATTCTGGTCGGATAACTGGGTAAATGACTTGGGACCTTTAAAACTCCTAACGTTTGCTGACATCGAACAAAGCCAACTCAGCAAGCCAATTAGTGAGTTTCTTAATGACAGAGGAGAATGGCATTGGGATCGATTCCAACATCTTCTTCCTGCCAACGTACTTTCTCATATAGCTGCGATACCACCTCCAAGTGTATCCTCTCCCCCCGACGTTTGTTATTGGACTGCCAATCCACATGGAAAATTTTCTGTTAGATCTGCCTATCAGAACACCCAGGACTCATCATGGAATGACCACAGCCAATCATGGAATTGGGCCTGGAAATGGCCAGGAATGCAATGAGTTAGGACTTTTCTTTGGCTTACAATGAGGCAACGCCTTCTCACAAATTCTGAAAGGATGCGAAGAGGCATGATTGAACAGGGTACCTGTGAAATTTGTCACACCGAGATAGAAGATGTAGACCATATTCTTCGTTGGTGCCCCACTGCTTACAACTGCTGGCTCTCAATTATACCACACCAATGACGGCAAGCTTTCTTCCAGCTTCCCCTCAAAGACTGGTTAGCTAGGAACCTTGACCCACACCTAACGAGCACTCATTGGAGGATCTTCTTCGGGATCCTAATTTGGAAACTTTGGGATAATAGGAATAGAACCATTTTTTGTAATGAACCCTTAACCCCTGATTCTATTATTTACTCTTCTCAAAGCTTAACCCAGTACGTCATTAAGGCAGAAGAGCAACTTAATTCTATAAACTCTACTGCCTAATTGACCTTGTCTTTGTAATTATTTGCTTTTAATATATTTCCCCTTTTACTCAAAAAAATTGAACTATAATTATCATGCAAATCAAGCAAGTTACAATGTGACATGTTATAGAACTTCAAGACATCCTCAATTTGCATAAAATCATGCTTAGTCTCATGCTAGGAGAGGAACATCAACACTTCCACATTAACACGATTCAATGCATTTGGCCCAAGCACAAACCAAGATTATTCAACCAACCAAAATCACAACGCAAGTTCCTTAATCCAAGCAAACAACAAATCATATTAAACAAACAACACTACGGAAAAAAAAAGTAGGATTACCAGCAGAAAATTTCTAGCAGTTATAGAAAACCACTACAAATTGAAACATTCTAGCGGTTTTAAATCAAACCGTAAGAAATTCGTAGCGCTTTGACCAGAAACGGTGTGGGCCCACAATTTTCTAGCGGTTATGCGTAAACCGCTAGAAAATGACCACCAGAATTGTTTGCGTTTTTGGGCGTGAAGTTCATGCCAAACTTCTAGTGTTTATTTTCTAGCAGTTAGGATGCTAGAACTGTTAGAGAATGTAAATCGCCATTCCATTTTCTAGCAGTTAGCAAAACCGCTAGTAATTCAACAAACTTTCTAGCGGTTTTATGAGAAACCGCTAGAAATTTTTTATATTTCCCGAGGAGTTGTGACACGTGGCTGAATAAGGAGGTGGCGCAGCATAACAGCTAGAAAATTCTAGCGGTTCATGGGCTGAATAAGGAGGTGGCGTAGTGTAACAGCTAGAAATTCCTAGCGTTTTTATGAAAATTCTAGCATTTCTACAGGAATTGCATCATTTTCATTGTTTGGCGAATTTTGAAGCAGAGCTCTGCCAAATTCTCTCCACGAAGTATATCCAAATCCAGATCCAGATCTAGTTACAAATCCATATTTTCAAGTAAGAATAGTAATTTATTTATAAATAATTTTGTTTTTATCTTTATTTTATTTATTTTATTACATTTTTTATATTAACTTTGATAGATTAGCTTAATTTAGTTAGAGTTAATAGAAATTTTTTTTATAGTAGGCTACTTTTTATAGAGTTAATAGAAGTAGTTATATTTTTTTTTAATGAGTTAACGGGAAATTTAAATATAGGAATATCTATTTTTCAATTAATATTATTTGATATTATTTATAGAGTTAATGGAAATAATTATTATTTGATCTGATTATTTATTTGGAATAATTGTTAGTTGTAAAATATATTTTTCATTACAATTGCTATTTGCTATTATTAGGATGAGTCATCGACCAGGGAAAGAGCCGATTGATCCTAAGAGGGAAGGACCCAGCGAGGATCGTGGTGGTGGCAGTCATGATGCTGGTGAGCCATCCTGAGTATTCATGACTATGATCTGAACGAGGATGAAATCTTGAGCTTTATGGAG